TTTTTTTTTTTTTTACAAATTCAAGTTTGCATGAATATAGTTAGTTCTGGTCTTTGGACAGCACCAGGTAGGAAAACATGTGAAAACATTTTTAATCCCTAGTTCACTAAATCTCCCAGAAACACATTGTCATTTATTTCATTTTTTAGCATAAACAAAATACACCAAGACAGATACTATGAAATGCAGCATACTTGCAAGTATTTTATGTGAAATGAGAACCACATTTATAGACCTTGTGTTGAATAATTTTGTGAATTCTTCCTTGCATATCTTCACATGTTTCTTTTGATTGAGGAACAGGGAATGTTAGTTGAGCCTTCCTATGGCTATTGTAACACTTGTGAATTTTCCATGAATGATAAGTACAACCATGTAAGATTGAATAAAATGCCTTCGTTATATTTCATATCTGCTAAAATCTGATCTAGTACTTAGGAAAGTGATTGTTTTATGAGTTGATATACTGTACATTTTTACTATGTCTAAAGTTTTATAGGACACCAAGTTGCCATGTGTTTTACTAATTTGACTTTTATTTTTTTTAAGTGTGTGCATTTTTTCCTTAGAGTCTTCAATTTGCCAAAAATAATATTTAAGACAAGTTCCATAATTGTCAAAAAAAAAATGACAAACGAATCAGCACCTCTGCACCTTGATGCTTTGTTGGGCAAGATAAATTCTCTCTCTCTCTCTTTTTTTTTTAAATTTGATTTATATGCCGCCCTTCTCCGGAGACTCAGGGCGGCTTATAGTGTGTTAAGCAATAGCCTTCATACTTTTGTATATTTTATACAAAATCAGCTTATTGCCCCCACAAACTGGGTCCTCAATTTACCTACCTTAGAAAGGATGGAAGGCTGAGTCAACCTTGAGCCTGGCAAGATTCGAACATACTTTAATTGCAGACAGCTGGTGTTAAATTACAGTGCCTTTGTCTGCAGAGCTATCCAGGCTCTTAAATTCCTTGACAGTGATATCCCTAAAACTTTTTCCTGCCTATGAGGAGCTTTATAATTTCATTTTTGTTACTTATTTTTGTTAAGTGATACTGTCTATCTACTTTGCTTATTTCCAGCGCATATGTTTTCAAAACCTCTTTTTTATGGTCTAGGAGGTTCATACTCTATTTTGAGTCACTTTCAGAATTTATAATATTACCTTAGTATTGGTATCAGCATTTTTCACAATGTTCTCATTTTTTTCAAGGAATTGTTTTACTTTATGAAGTTGCTGGACAACTTTTGAGAACAGAAAAAGAATATTGAACTCTGCTTCTTTAACTTTGTTACACAGAAACAGCTGAGTTTAAATGTGTTGTTGAAAATTATGTACACTTGACATGTGCATGTTTATGGACTTCTCTTTATTCTTTGCATTTATAAAAGAATTCTGCAAAAATTTCCCAAATTTTGAATAAAGCTATGTTTCAACTCAAAGGAGTTACAACTTTTTACCAGAATAAACCTTTACCAACTATTGATAGGTGAATATCTCATCTTTTTTAAGTTTGTCAGTAGCATTTTCTAGAAAGTGCAATAATTGGAATTAATTTAATTTTTTCATTTATGTTTTTATTTATAGCCATATTAAGCTATTTGTTCACTTATCATTGGCTTTGTGTCAGGAACATCCATCAACAAGGTTAAGAAACTGGTCATCTGTCATATGAGAGATAAGATTGCCCTTTGATAGCATTAAGAAAAACATCAATTTCCTACTCCTGGCCCAAGGCTAATTGTGAACAGATGCAAAATAATTTGGAGAATCTGAAGGTTGTCAATTTATAGTTTCATTAAAGTTTGCTATCATATCTTTCTGTTACTATAAAGGCATAAACATTTCATGGTCTTGTTTTTAGTTTCTTTCCTTGAGCTGAAGAGATTTTTCTTTCTGGGATTAAAAATGGGAGTATCATTATGAATATTGCTTAGCATTGCTTAGTACCTATTATGCTTAATATCTATTTCTGAATCCTCTATTTTGTGGCCAGATTTTTGTGGCCCATAATACATTTTCAAGTGATAATGCAAATGTATTGTCAATGAAAGCATTTTATGATACTTAGCTGTAATTTATCATTGCTGTTATTCGCACTTCTGAGTTTCCATCTGTGTTTCTGATTCCATTAGCTGTGCGTCTTTATTCTCCTTTTAGGTCATAAAATTTAATAATATATAAGGATAGTGTTCCAAGATGTATTTTTAATTAGGTTACAATTTCAGTTAGCAGATTTATTTTCATAGGTGAGTTCAGGATTTCAGAGCATTTAGTTGTGACTTCTTTATTCTTTATCAATTAAAAACTAGAGAATCAGGTATTTCTTGATTAATTGGTTGATCAAACTTACATACCACCCATCTTAGTCTCAGAGTGACTCTGGACGGTGTACAGGTATCCATGTATTAAATATATATGTATGTAGAGATATAGGTGTGTGTGTGAGAGAGAGAGAGAGATCCATGGATACCTGTACATGTGTGCACGCACGCACACACACACACACACACACACACACACACACACGTCTGTCTGTCTGTCTGTCTGTCTGTCTGTCTGTCTGTCTGTCTGTCTATTATAATCTATCTATATCTCCAGTTAAGCAGATAGGTGTGCATATTCTTTATTCATTGAAAACCAGTTCTTTACCAAAATATATATTGGGCTGTAATTACTGGTTTTCTACAGTGCATTTCTTTCAATGGAATGCATATATATCTTGCTGTACAAATCAGCAGAGCTAGTCATGTATACATTCCTTTTCAAGGTGTAATTGGACTAGATTTTTACAATTAAATTAATTGTAAAATTGTAAGATATAAGATGGATAATATTTACAGTGACAACATCAGGGTGCTTTGCAAGGGATTTCATAATTATTTTATAGTTCCTCGTATTCTTTATAAAATGAAGCAAACACACTTAGTAACAAGAAAGTGGAAATTAATTCAATTATTTTTATTAAATACTATTGATAATTTAAAATGGAAAGAGGCTAGTTAATTTAATAGAAAAGCAGAATTGAAATTAATGTGTTACACTGTTGTACTTTTGTTATTCATTAAACGTATAAAAGTGAGAATTCAAAAATGAGTATTTAAAATGTCAATGAAGTAAAAATATTTCATTTATTATAGGGACTGAGACAATTATATTTCAAATGTTATTTCTAGATAATATGGATAGCAGAAACCTCAAAAGAGTATTGGGTGACATAATTTGTTTTTGTGTATACTGTATAGGTTCCAAAAACCTCAAAATAGAAGGTGTTACATAAGTGGAAAGTTGTTGTCGTTATTGCTAATTGAATGATCATATTACAATAATGTGGATGCAATTTAGAAACATATGGGATATTATGACAGATAGCTTTTTCTTCATCCTGTGATGCATATTAGTTGTTTTAACTTTTAAAGAGATTAGTAATCTGGAAGAATTCCCAACTATTGTTCCAGACAGCAGTTAGATATTTGGGTGGATCATGTAAAAACACTGAAAAGGCTGAGAGAGCATGTGAAATGTTTGTTTGAAGTGATATTACATCAGTGAACAAGACATCTGTACTTTTTGATGTGGTTTTAGAAGGTTTATAGTATTGTACAGGAATTTTAAATGGGTGCTCTTTCACCATATTAATTCTATTATTTCTGTATTTTTCAGTTCTGTTATTAAAGATGCGGCATCCTTATATATCTGGAGTGCTTTTATGTTAACTGAATTTGCACTGGTCCAATTCAAAGGAAACATGAGCACTTCCAGTTTCCCTGAGCTAGTGTTGCCTTTTGTTTTGTTTTTCTATAGATATATCAAGAAAATCTTGCTTTAACACTGTAGTTTGCTACTTGTTATAGAACAAAAAGATGAGTATTTTCCTGGTTATAATAGGTGGAAGGCAGGTAAGGCATAATGAAATTAATAAATTCAATATGCTGTGCATTAGGGACAGTGCATTGCAGCTGCCAGCTGAGTTTTCCATGGATACCCAGCTTGGATTTCCCCCCCAAATAAAAGAAGAATTGTGCTGGATTAGGCCAAAGACTCATCAGTCCTATATTCTGTTCTCATTGAGATCTATTTGTACTTATGAGAAGCATATTGAGTGCAATTGTGTCCCTCAGCAACTATATTGACACACACATTAAATACTTATATAATATCTATCCATGTTAGCTATTGTATATTAGTGGCAACATCCATAAATTTATATAGCACTTTTGAAAACAGTATAGGTTGGTGTCCATTAATCTCATAGTTGTAAAGTAATATTTTCATATTTCTCAGTCTGAATTTTTATTTGTTATAATGTGATTTGATACCGCATTTTTTAGTCATGTTGTGAAAAATAAACTGTTGGCCCAAGTACTTTGCTTAAACCCTTAAAGTAGAGTTTTTTCTTAAGTCTAGATCTACAATTGTAGAACTTCATATTATCAACAACTAATATATGTGTTAAAATATTATTTATGTAATAAAAAGGAGGTTAGACAATTGCTACATTGAATTGTATTATGAAATTGTCTTATAGAGGGCAATAATTCTCTAAGGCTTGAAGCAGAAATGTTTCTTACATATGCTAACTACTATGATTTGGACCTTGGACTGTAAATGTGCAAAGTTGAAGTTCACTGAAGTAAACCTTATGGCCCCTCCACATCACCAAGAGTGTCCAGACAAAGTGGTGAACCTAGAAAACATAGACCCAGATCTGATATTCTGTCTATTGAATCACACTGAAAATAAATTTAATTATATTTTGTAAAAAGCGGATATACTTATGGGATGATGATGGCTGATAGACAATGATGGCTATTAAGAAGAGAACACAAATTGCCTGATTACACATTTTAGTTTGGAGTGTCTTACCTAACCAAACAGGAAGGGATTACTGTATATACTAAGTAACAGAAGGAAAGACATCGTTTAAAATTACAAATAATTGAATACATATTAAAATTACATGAAAATTTTGAATGATCTTTGCTCTTAATTTTGGCACCCAGGGGAAATCTTCATCTGCCTCCTGACGTTTATCAGTGGAAACCAGCTGCAACAAAACACCCCCAGTGCCTCCATAAACTATCTGACATCCAAGGAAATGAGCCAGACATCTATTTGTTTTTTCAGTATATCTCCTGCCACTAAGAATACAGCTACAATTGCAAGGGAATTCCTCATGAATGGAACATCCTCAAGTGGTAAAGCTAAAGGTCTAAAAGGAGTGTCATCCAAATCCCATTGATGTATAGTATAGCCTTCAAAACCACTGAAATATGTGGCAGGTGTAATAGATTGGAATAAATTACCCTTTACAACCAGTACTCAGATATTTTTGTATTATAATTGTGATCTAAATAAAAACAAATCTTGCACAGCATTTGTAAACTTAGTGTTTACAACACTGTAAACCAGTGTTCTAAGAAAGTAGAAGCTCCTGTAGGAGGGCAGAGGCAGCAGAAAGGCTAAAAAGAGGGACCAGTTTAGAGTCTGTTCAGAGTTTGTACCCATAAGTCCAGACCTGGTTTTTCATGCCCATTAAGATCACCTACTTTCCACATGCTTTGATCTTGATTGAATATTATATTAGTTGTTATATTATTTGATATTGAATTTTTTAAAAATCTCTCATTGTCTTACTGTGCTTTGTTGTACACTGCCCAGAGTCTCAACTGTTTGGGCACAAAATAAAATATTCCATATGCTAAATGAACCTATAGATATTGACCTCTGCCACCCATCATGGTTTTGATCAATTGGGGCTTTCATATAATGCTACTGAGTAAGATTGAGAAGACATAAACTAGGATCTTAGTCTTAGTTGTACACATGCTACATTCCCTATTAATGGTAAAAACAATACCAGTCAGTGTTGGCAAATTTTGGACAGTAGGACTCAAGCACAACAAAAACAACAGCCCAGTTTACCCCAAGAGTGACGATACTATTCTGTACATGTTAAATACCTACACACTACTTTGCAAGCCACATATTGCAGCCTACATTCTCTCAGCTAGGAAGTATATGCAGTGTGCTGACACACATTAAGGATATATTTTATTCTTATAGTGCCAAAACTCTGTTCAAGATAATGTTTTTGCCAAGTTATTTCCTTACTACCCCTAGCTGTGGGATACAATTACTAGACACCGATCATGTGCGCCTTTCCCATTTCCCCACCTTCATTATTTATTTCAGCTTGAAAAACAGAAGCTTTGTTTTCTTTTTGCCAAGATTGTAGCTGATCACCGCTTGCCTCATTCTTACTGAACTTCAGCAGATATTATCTGTAATTCTCACTTATACCTTTAGAGTTTCAAGGAGCTTGTGATTTTGGCTTCCTACCCATATTCTTTTGTAAGGTTCAGCTTAATATCTTGGCTGCCTGAATTTTTGGAATGAGCAAGAAGCTCTGTGCTGGATCACTGAGCACCAAGGAGAAAGTTGAACAGAATCTTTGTGGGAAATGGCTTAGTGAGTTGTCAAATGCCTGTCACTCTGGTCTCTTCACTTTCTCACCACAGAAAGCACTTTCTGTTCATGATTTAAAAGCATTTTCCTTTATAAGTTATTGTATTCTAGCAGGTTTCCAATTAAAAAATAAAAGTACATCTACCAAAATACTTCACCATATTTTTAAAGAATAAAATGAAAAGGAATGTCTATTTTCTCAAGCAATAATCATTAACTTGTCCATGTTTTAAATCATAAGCCTATCTTTGTTTTCTATTGACAATCCTTGCATGTACAGTTCAATGCACTGTTACACTTTTAAGTTATTCAAAATGTAAACATTCAAAACTACCTTCACGGGGTATTATTCACATAATAAAAGGGGAAAATCATATAAATTCATAATTAATCTCTAACTAGAAAATGCAACATTTTTTTCAAGATGTTTACTTGATGTGAATTTTTCATAATTCATATTACTTATGAAACAACACATGTTGTACAAGCAATAATTATTATTGGAAAAATGGCCTGATTATATTTATTTTTGCTAGATAAGCATATCAACAGATTCATTTCCTCCTTTAGCAATTCTTAAATAAAAGCATTGGCAGTGTACTTCGATTGGCGCGGCAGCTTCCCCGGTACCTGGATGAAGCTGTCTATCTAGACCCACTCCAGTCCGGCTTCCGACCTGGGCACAGCATGGAAACGGCATTGGTCGCATTGGTGGATGATCTCTGGAGGGCTCGGGATAGGGGTTGCTCATCTATCCTGGTCCTGTTAGATCTCTCAGCGGCTTTTGATACCATCGACCATGGTATCATGTTGCACCGGTTGAAGGGGGTGGGGGGCACCGTTCTGCGGTGGTTCTCCTCCTACCTCTCTGACCGGTCGCAATCTGTGTTGACCCGGGGGGGCAGCGGTCGACCCCGAGGCGCCTTGCTTGTGGGGTGCCACAAGGGTCGGTCCTCTCGCCCCTTCTGTTCAACATTTATGTAAAGCCGCTGGGTGAGATCGTCACATGATCACTATTTGCAACCTTCCCTGTCAACTTCCCACAAGCAAAGTCAAATTGCTTCCATAAATTGTTCCCACCACTTTTTCTGTTATGGAGTATGAGGTCCCAAGGACAGAGATCCCACCATAACCCCAAGAGCTCCCTCTATGTTGCAACTGTTATTGCATCTCCTCCTTGTTAACGTATTACCATGCATGTAATACCACAATGGCTAATCAAACAACTAACAAATAAAAATATATTTAGGTTAATTGAGTGGATTTATTAAATGGATATATTTACAGCAGCAGCTTTGTCACTTGAAATTATATAAGGAATAATTGACAGTGAATAGGATGAACAAAAGTCCTGGGAAATGGGAAGTTTGTAAATCTGATAAACAAATATTACGGATTTCCATCTGACTCAGATATCAGATAGTTTAGGATTATTGTTATTTAGTAAAAATCAAGCCTACCAGTGTTCTGGTGTTGCTTTTAGATGATCAAGGTATGTGTAATTTTAGTGTCCTGGTTGGAAGATATCCTCGACAATCTTAGCATCAACACTTCCTTTTCTTTTGAAATTTTACTACCACCTCTCAAAGTTCTATCAAAACTTCCTTCCCCTCCCACCAATACATTTAACTAGTAGGAAGTGTGACCTTCTCAGAGGTTCAAAGTACTGTAGTCTATATAAAGTTAAGTAAATTATTTTCAGTTCTCTACCTGCAAAGATTAGTTTTATGTTTAATACAGTGATGGGTTGCCCTGGTTTGCACTGGTTCTATAGAACTGGTAGTAAAACCGTCAGGAGGCTCCGCCCACCGACTGATGTCATCAAAATGCTTCTGCGCATGCGCAGAAGAGGTCATGGCCCCGCTGCGAACCGGTAGTAAAGGTAAGTAGAACTCATCCCTGGTTTAATGTGTACAATATGCCCTGCAGTGCAACTGCAGTATTTTTGCTTTTTTGACACTTTTTACAACTGTTCATCAGAAAATAGACAGCTTATCTGTATTTGGTGCACTTCAGAACAATTCTGTTAATATCAGTATCATATTGATACTCACCAGTGACTGCAGCATGAGATCTAAGGACTTGGGTTAGGCTAATAATCAACCTAATCTGAGTTTTTTTTTTCTTCTTTAAAGTAAGGTCATGTAGTAAATAGGAGTCACAGTTGTGAGATATGTTGCACATATAAATAAATATATATTAAAATGAACAAACTATACAGAAGGCAAAAATTTGTAATGAACATTATTACTGAATTTTTATATGAATATTTATGTTTTAATTTTTTATTTTTAAAATAGACATTTTGAATACAGAAGCCAGTAATGACATATATATATATGGTTGGAAGAAAATTGATACTGTACCTTTACAGGGAGGATACATAAGATATGGGTGTGGCCTACTGATGAAAGCAAACGAGCTAGAAATGGATCTATTTAGGTCTCCCACCTAGCAGTTAGAGCTTGCTAGCTGTTAGAAAAGAAAAAAGTCCAGAACCGAGTAGATGTGATTCTACTGAGCTGAAGCTACAAAAAAACCTTGGTTACGTAGGGAAAACCTGGCTAGAAGAAAAACATATATGTATGTATGTATGTATGTATGTATGTATGTATGTATGTGTGTATAGTTAATATTTCGGGTTTCTTCCCGTGTAATACACGGGAAGAAACCCGAAATATTAACTATACACACATACATACCCGTGAAAACTTCGTCGAAATGTCGCCAAGACACTTCCAATTTTAGACGGGAGAAAACCCAAATAACCAAAGACAGACAGACAGACAGACAGACAGACACACACACACACACACACACACACACACACACACACATTCATGCTTTATGCAATAACAAATGGCATTCTTATTTTCTCTAGAATATGCTAATATGGACATGATTTAGAAAATCACCTGTAAAACATTACAATAATTTTTTGAACAGAGTGCATATATCATAATGACACCTGTTTAAATAAAACGTTTGTGTATTTATTTGGTTTGTATGATTTAATCTCACATTTTGTGCTGTCATGTACTCATGGTAGCTTAAAAACTTTAGAAACAAAAACAGAATATAAAGATGTTTAAAACAGATTAAAAATAACAACAAAGTAAATGTAAATATTAAATCCTAAATCATTTAACAATTAACAGCCAAGCACACAGTGGGAGCCTAACATAATGTAGCCTGGGGACAATGCAGAAAAATGTTCCTGTATTCCCAAAAAAAACCCACTCTAGCCTCTGACAGCAGGGCCATCTTCAGAAAAAGTTATCCTGTTGACCTTAACTTAGTTAAGGGACATAACCTTTCTTGGGCTATAAAACAAGTCTTTTTCTCCCAAATGATTGGCATTCTGAAACTATCGTCATGAAGCTGCATTTTCAGAAAACATGCATTGCTCTTATGGATGAGGCCTGCATGTTGTTGTTTTTAAAAAACTCTATATGATAGAATCTAGGATGTGTTCACATGTTTATGTCCATGTCTGTCACTTGACAACAATAGCCAAGAAATATCCTTAATTTGAGAATGAGGTAGGACTATAGATTCATAATCAAGGGTTATTCAACAGTTTAAAGTTTGAAGCATTTAAGCACATTTATTTGATGTTTTATACCTAATAATAAATCTTAATCATCATAATATGTAAGTGCTTTTGAGAAATAGAATGCAGCAGATGACTTGATCTCTAAAGTGCATTCCAGAGATGAATAACTCCCACCTTCTCTTCTCCCTAAATTAACATTTTATTTATTCTTCACACCTTCATTGGAGAATTCCCCAACCTTTTAAAGCAGATAAATGGAGATGACATTTATACCTTTATAACTCACCAGTCATCTTT